TCATTCACTCTTCCGTTCACTTCGACTATCAACGGCCGCTGGAGTGTCGGCGATTGAAAGATAGTCGTGTTGTGTACGACGGGAGTGACGTGGGTCTCGGGCGTTATAAATTCGATAACACTATCATCGGGTAAGCTCGGAACGCTTCGGGAGAGGGTGGGGCTCTGCTTCATGTCGTCAGTCTCCGAATCGTCTTTAGTTTCGACCTCAGTCTTGATTTCGATCTCCTCTTTGACTTCGGTTAAATCGTTTAGCACTTCGCCGGCCGGTTTTACGTACTTGGGCATTAGTAAGGCCCAATGGCCTTTATCGTTGGTAGAACACGAATGAACGACGGTTGGTTTTTTGCGTTTGTAGAAGAGCATGTAGACGGTGTTGTTGACGAGTTCGGCGTACGCGTTGTCATCATCGACGGGAGTGACTCTGGAGTCGTCGAATTTGTACCAGCGGTTGTCATAGGGGTTTTTGCAGGCGGCGGTGTAGTGTCCGGTCTCTAGGTCGTCGCCGTGGTGGTAGCAGATGGCGTACAGGTCGTAGATGTTGTCGTGCGGGTTGTGGAGCGCGGCCTTGGAGTGTCGTCGCCGCGGCGAGCGCGAGTGTCCGGGCGAGTCGTTGGAGGAATTCCTTCTGACTAGATGTGGCGTCATATCCAAATCGTTTAATGGAAACTCTACCATGGTCGTTAACTTCGTACTGGTGCGACCTTTTGCCTGTCTGAAATACAAAAGTACCTTTTTAAGATTTATGTAGTTGCAATAACACATTGCATGTTTTAGATATAGCAAATCTCATACTTACTGTCTAAATCTCTTCAAATGGATGACTAAGATGTCTGGAAGCGACCAGAGTCCCAATGTTTTCACAACTGGCATGTATCTTTGGCATTGGGGACATCTGCAAGTAGTATTTATTTAAAAACATGTGATTGCGTGCCCGAGTTAATGTGTATATGTACAGACGCCTGTAAAGTTTCATAAATTTACAATTTACCAGCCTTTACTTTCAAAAATATGTATACCCATGTCATATATAGTCACCATATTATACATGGATTAGTAAACATGTTTTTGAAACCAAAACCGTATTGTAAACATTAAAGAGTTTATTCATAGTTTCCATTGCTTTTAATACATATTTCCCAGATTTTGTTTCAGACTCACATTTCATTCTGAACTGTAATTACTTTTTCTACATTTTACGTACTTGTGTATATGTGTACATGGGTACATGGAGAGTTGTGTACATGTGTACCTGTGGAGATGTGTACGTGTGTAAATGTGTACGTGTGTATACGAGTACATGTGTAATGTGTACGCACCTCCAGGCGTCCTCCTGCGCCAGGTGCTCTGCGCGCGTGTAGTGCGCGAGGCAGGCGTGCAGCGTGAGCGGGCCGGCGCGCGCGCCCGCCGCAGACACGTGCACCTCGCACGCCTCGCTCGCCTCGCGGATTATACTGCACACATACAGCACAACATTTGTCTCAACTATACATAGTTTTGCTTCAAATTATCTCTATAATTTTCACATTATGACCTATAACGTAATTTACAATACCAATAAAAAAAAATGTATTTGTACTTTTATATTTGCATTACAGAAAACAGCCTATAGAGTGGATTGGATGATCAAGAAGGTAGTTGCAACCGGAAATAAAACTTGGAGGACGAAAACCTGTTGGGCCGCCCTTATGGGTGTTGAATAAGGACGGGGTAATGAGGATTGGGGAAGATTGAACTGGACAAGCACAATGAGCTCGTTGTCAAGGATAACAAAGCATGATTTCACTTAATAAGGTACCAAAACTGTCATTATAAAACTAATTGTCAACTGTAGTACATCTCACTTTTCTGAATAACTGATATGTAAAGTGTCGTTACCTATCCCTGTGCGCGGGGTCCCAGAGCAGTTCGAGTCGCAAGTACGGGTGTTTGTCGTGTGAGCACAACGCCTGCTCCACTTCGAGAGCGAACAGAGGATGCGGCAACTGGAACAATG